TGATTCAAAAAATAGATATTTTGATTTTGAGAAGCTAGCTGAGGTTTGTTCAGATCCTATTTGTCTTGGATCCTCTATTCTGACCTATGTTGATGAATGTTCTGATACATTATTGATTTTGGCAGGTTACCTCAACTGTTACTTACAATCTTAACAAAATTATCGATATTAATTATTATCCTGTTGAGACAGCAAAGAGATCAAATATGCGGCACCGGCCAATTGGCATAGGTGTTCAAGGCCTGGCAGATACTTTCATATTACTGGGCATGCCATTTGATTCACCAGAGGTACTTTTCGATTTCTCCTTAACTCAGCATTAGCCACCTGTTCCCTTATGTAATTAGCTGATATATGTAACAAATGGTATTTCAGGCTCAACAGTTGAATAAGGATATATTTGAAACTATCTACTATCATTCTCTGAAAGCTTCTGCTGAACTTGCTGCTAAAGAAGGTCCCTATGAAACATATGAAGGGAGCCCTGTCAGCAAGGTTTTCCTCAACAAGCTTTCCCCTTTTCAATTACTATATATGCCTAGTGTTTAGTGATATTTATATTCATGATGAAGAATTCTGTTTTTTTTTTCATTAACAAGTATGCATCGACCTTATGCTCTCTACCTGCTTTGTAGGGCATTCTCCAACCTGACATGTGGAATGTAGTGCCATCTAACAGATGGAACTGGTCATCTCTAAGGGAGACCATTTCTAAAGTTGGGATAAGAAATTCTCTTCTTGTTGCTCCAATGCCCACTGCTTCCACTAGTCAGATTCTTGGCAACAATGAGTGTTTTGAACCCTACACGTCTAATATATACAGTCGACGGGTTCTAAGGTCTGTAACAACACTCCTTACTTTAGAGTGTTTACATTCTGACCTACATGTGCATATATGATTAATCTTTCTATTTTTCTTCCAGTGGGGAATTTGTTGTGGTTAACAAGCATCTTCTTCATGATCTGACTGAAATGGGCATTTGGACTCCTACTCTGAAAAACCAGATAATATACGATGATGGTTCTGTCCAAAAGATAGCAGAAATCCCAGATGATCTTAAAGCAATCTACAAGTATGTATTTCTACCGGATGCCATTATTTTCTACAAGACTCAAATTACTATTTGAACATCTAAAGTTTATATACAATCATTGCACCAGGACTGTTTGGGAGATCAAGCAGAAAACTTTAGTTGATATGGCGGTTGACCGTGGATGCTATATTGACCAGAGCCAGAGCCTCAATGTCCACATGGAGCAAGCAAACTTTGGGAAGCTAACATCACTTCACTTCCATGCTTGGTCCAAGGTATTGAACCTCCAGCCATCACAGCAATTGTCTTATCTTTATGGAGTTTGTACTTAACCTATTAAACTAGTGATTTGTTTTTTTCTAATCTTGTTCAATGCCAGGGCCTGAAAACTGGAATGTACTATCTACGCACACGAGCTGCTGCTGATGCGATCAAGTTTACAGTTGATACCACACTTCTAAAGGAGAATGGGAATGTGGTATATTTTCTTTCCTTTAGTCCTACAATCTTTTTCCTCAAAGGTTACTAAAACACTATTCACCTTGAAAACCACTTGCATATGCAGGTGAGTAATGGAAAGCCCACAGAGGAAGACGTAGAAGCTAAAATGGCACAAATGGTCTGTTCTTTGAACAACCGGGAAGAGTGCCTGGCGTGTGGAAGCTAGATTGGAGCTCCATCTGGACACTGCACTTCCTTGTTTGTGACCACAACATTATACACAACCGGCTGATTATTGGAGCTCAATAACCATAACGAAGTCTGTGATGTAGGTTGAATTAAAAATTCCCATAATGGGAAATATCTTGTTCCCTGGATACAGCTACGGATCTCTGGTTTGTATTGTTCTACTGAGATATTTGTGCTGCTGGCCTGCTGCCAATGTATATATCTACTATCAACGGCATTGCCCTATTGGTGTGTGCAATTGCATTTTTGTGTGAACTGTGTAATACCCTTTGCATATGGTCGAGTTTACCATCACAAACAATTGGCTCGAACAGGAAGTAATTCATCGTTTTCCATGGTGAGAGATCATGCTTGTTATAAAAAAAAACTGAATTCTAAAAGAAAAATATTAATACGAGTGAGAAAACTTAGAAAATAGATACGAGCGCAAAAAAAAGGCCTGTAGACGGAATGACGGAGGTCATCAACTCATCGTGAATTGTCACACGGTACTGATAGGTTACGTTCCTGGATGACTAGTATACTGGATTGCAATGCATTTCCTAGATGGCTAGTATAGTATATTGCAATGCCAATACAGAAGGTTTGTTTGGCTGCACTGCACACTAGTATCCAAATCCACATGAGTTTGGAGAAATTGAGGTAGATTGGTGCAATGGTGCAACCAAACAAGCCTTGATAGATGTGGATGCAATCAATACTCGTTTGACTAAGCACAAACTAAAGGTCTGTTTGGATAAACATAACTAATTGTTAGGCAGCTAATTTATACTACTATTGTTATCTGTTCATCCAAGAAAGTTAGAAGATTGTGTTTGACAGCTTATGGTACATCATTTGGCAATACATATTTGTGATTGATGAGTTTAGTTATTATTTTCTTGAACACACAGTAGAGCAGCATCAACGCTAATCCAAAAAAATTAGTTGCATTGTCTGTCGGGGAAAGTTAAAAAGTAACTCAAGTCTCAACTTTAATCACCGTCTGTTGCAAGTTATAACCATGCAGACAAAATAACTTTTGTGAAAGGAAAAAGGGTTTGGTTAAAAAATACATTGTAGGAATCTTAAACAGCAACACTTGTAATGTTTGCTTCCGCCTCCTGTTGAACTGGGCTCCAGCTTGAAATCGTCCTTGATCTTCTTCAACTTGGCAACAACATCAGTCATAGTTATCCTTTCGTCAGGTAATTCACTTGTGCATAGCATACCCAACTCAAACACTGATGTGAGAGTGCTATGCGAGATGCTTGGAGAAACTTCCGAAGGGTTGCTGGTGTGGTGAAAACCATGTACTATTTCATCATCTTTTTGTACATTACCGTCCAAAATATGGTTAATTTTGATGGAAATGCTTGATGGAATCTTCGCCTACATAGGCTGAGTTCTCCGACAAACATGGTGTCGATGGGCTTGGAGTGAATACTAAACAAAGGCCTTGATTCCAAATCCACATCGAGTTTGGATGCTTTACCCATGGGTAGATTGGTGTTCAATGGTGTTTTAAACAAACATCAGCACAATGTGAAATAGATGTGGATGGTATCAATAAATTAATTGAGTCATGATTGGTTGACTACCTGGATAAACATATCTAATTGTTCCTGGCAGCTAATTTATACTAATATTGTTATCTGTTCATCCAAGAAAGTTAGAAGATTGTGTTTGACAGCTTATGGTACATCATTTGGCAATACATATTGTCATTGATGATCACAGTTATTCTTTTTCAGGTCACAGTGCAAGATTAGTATCAACGCTAATCCAAAAATTTAGTTGCATTGTTTGTCGCCATCGAAAGTTAAAAAGACTCAAGTCTCAACTTTAATCACCATCTTTGCAAGTTATAACCATGCAGACAAAATGTGAAGATTTGTGAAAGGAAAATTAGGGTTTGGTTAAAAATACATTAAAGTCCAGGCTTGAACAACACTTGATTATCCTTATCAAGTTCCGCCTCCATGTTGAACTGTGCTCTCAGCTTGAAATCGTCTTTGATCTTCTTCAACTTGGCAACATCAGTCATAGTTATCCTTTCGTCAGGTAATTCAACTTGGGCCATGGTAATCCACCGACAACTCAAACACTGATGTGAGAGTGCTATTTACAGACTATGCTTGGAGAAACTTCCCCTCAAGACTGCATGGTGTTAGCAAAAACCATGTACTATTATCCCGCCATCATCTTTGCACATTACCGTCCAAAATATGGTTAATTCTTGATGGAAATGCTTGATGGACCCAGCGCCTAAGGCTGAGTTCTCCGACAAACATGGTGTGTGTTCTCGGCTTCTTTACAGTGAATACCTCAAGCAGCATGATTCCAAAACTAAACACATCGCTCTTCCTTGATGCTTTACCCATGGAGCCATACTCTGTTCAGGAATGTTTTAAACAAAGATCAGCACAATGTGAAATAGGTTTACATGGTACTAAAGAAATTAATTCAGTCATGATTGGTTGACTACCTGGTGCCATATATCCGATTGTTCCTGGCATGCTTGCAGAAATCACCGAGTCTATTATCACCTAACACAAAAGTTTTGGCTCCATGCCAAAGGTGTGCCACATGTGTGAGCTGTCATCATTCAGTGTCATCAAGTAACACATTGCTAGGTTTCAGGTCACAGTGCAAGATTACTTCATGGTGTCGATAATACAGATGTTCTACTGCCATCGACACCTCTATCATGATGTGTATCCAAACTACCATTAGGCATGTATTGGAGTAACAATGCTTTAAAGTCCAGGCTTGAACAAATGTTGATTATCCTTATCAAGTTGCGATGCCTTGAACCATGCAGTCAGTATCTTTTCTTTTTCTCAGCGCTCAAAGCTCTTTGTAGCTTCTTCCAATTGTACGTTTAGAACTTTGATGGCAACCACCAAACCATCGTTTAGTTGTCCCTTGAAAACTTTTCCAAAACAACCCATTCCCAACAAATTTTCCTCACTGAAATTGTTAGTCGCATGGACAATCTCGTGATAAGATATTAAGCTGTGGCTGATTGCATCAGTAATATTATTGGAACCTGTCAAAGCTCCTGGGTTGTTACTTTTTCTTCTGATGATTAGATACAAGCAAATAGCTATTGCTCCAAATGCTGCAAGGGCACCAGGGAGTACAAATTTGAGGATCTGTCCATTTGTTGAGTAAGATCTGACGGTACATGATGAAAACCCTAGGCGTGGAGCACCACAAAGCCCATTGTTTCCTAGCAAGGACTGCAAACTGATGTTTGAGAAAATGCCTCCTTCTGGTATATGTCCATGTAGCTTATTGAAGGAGAGGTTCAGATTGGTGATTGGCCAGGTACAGTGGAATGTTGCCAGAGAGGTTATTGTAGGAAAGGTCCAATGTTTCCATGCTCGCTAACTTGCCAAGAGAATTTGGAATTGAACCTTGAAATGAGTTATGTGATAAATTGAGGTAGGTCAGCATCTGTAATTGCCCAAATGAATCTGGAAGGCCACCAAGTAGTCGATTGCTAGAGAGATCTATTTTATTAATTGCATTGATGCTTTGTATATCAGCTTTGAGAGGACCCATCAAGTGGTTGTTTGACATATCGAGTTCAACAAGGCTGTCAATATGAAATAAACTCGGCGGTATGGTTGAACACAACTGGTTATAGGACAGAGATAAAAGTTGTAACATACTAAGATTACCAAGGCCATCAGGTATGGAGCCAGAGAATTCATTGTCGTCAAGAAGCAATTCAAGAAGGCTTTGAAGCATGCCAATTTGGGTTGGAATGGGACCAGATATGCTGTTACTGGTGAGAGCAAGTACCTGGAGATTGTCCATTAACACAACAGATTCTGGGATTGGCTGGTTCAGTTTGTTGCCTGTGAGATCAATGAATTGGAGACTAGTTAAATTTGAGATAGTTGCAGGCAGTCCGCCAATTAAGTTGTTATCATCTGCTCGGAAAGTCACTAGTTTCTTGGAGAGGTATCCTATGTAATCTGGGAGACTTCCAGAGTGAGAATTGGAGGAGATGCCAAGGTAACTGAGTTGCCTACAATTTGAAAGAGCACCCAAAAAGTTAAGGTCTCCCTCGAAGTGGTTCCATCCAAAACTAAGATAGACTAAAGAGCCGAGGTTCCCAAGTGTGTCTGGGATCAGTCCAGTCAACACATTTGTATCCAACACTAGGAGAGACAAGTCAGACAGGTTACCGATGGAAGCTGGAATTGGACCTGTCAGTTCATTAGCTGAAAGATGCAAAAAAAAGAGTCGTCTCATCTTCCCAAATTCTGGCAGGATTTGCCCTCTCAGCTTGCAGTTTGATAGATCTAGTTTTTGAATCCCAGTGAGATTGGTTAACTGAACTGGGATCGACCCAACAAGGTTATTTCCACCTAAAGCAAGGTACCAGAGGTTCGACAATTTGTCCAACCATGTTGGCACAACATCCGTAAAAACATTTTCTGACAAAGATATTACTTGGATGAACTGGCACGCGCTGAGTCCCACAGGAATCCTACCCACGAAGTTGTTTGCAGAGAGGGACAAAATCCGCAGCGCTGGAAGACTGAAGCTTTCATTGCCAGGGATAGTCCCAGTCAGATTATTGTTTCTCCAGAGGCTCAGAACTTGCAGGGAGGACTTATTGAAGATGTTAGGAGGCACTGTGCCGGTTAGCTGATTGTTTTGCAAGATAAGGAGCTGAAGCACGGGCAAGCTACCAATAGCAACTGGTATCGTTCCCCATAGGCTGTTGTTGCCTAGGTTCAGATGACTCAGGTAGGGTGTGTTGTTGAATAATTCTTCTGGTATTTTGCCACTCAAGTAATTCGTCTGCAGCTCTAAGTGCCTAAGATTTTGCAGGTTTTGCAGCTCAGGTGGGATATGCCCTGATAAACTGTTCTCGTAAAGAACAAAGCGCTCGAGCCTCGTGAGGTTTCCAATGGTTGATGGGATATAACCTGACAAACTGTTCCAGGGAAGAGCAAGAATCCTGAGGCGTCTCAGTCTTCCAAGCTCAGGAGGAATGGATCCTGTGAGGTTGGCGTTGGTGAGATTTAGGACGGAGAGGAAAGAGAGGTTACCGATGTGGGGAGAGATGCTCCCATGCAGGGGAGTGTTTGGCAGCGCCAGGGCGGTGACGCGCTCTCGGCGCTGGCTGCACGAGACGCCCAGCCAGTGGCAGAAGGACGTGCCGGGGGTCCAGTTGCCACGAAGAACGCCTAGAGGATCCGAGAGCTGTGCTCTGAACGCGAGCAGAGCGTCGAGGTCAGTGCCAGTGCCATTGCTCCGGGAAGAAACGGCAGCCGCCGGCAGCACGGCGGCCAGTAACACGAGGGGAAGGAACTGGAGGGCCATGTTGCTGGCGTCGTGCGTGATAGGCTGGGTCATTTACTTGGAACTGATGGAGCGGATGGCTGTACTTTACATCGTCGCTGGTAACAGTACCCAAGAGTTAAGCCTAATAATATAGCTGGACTGCTGGCTCTAAAGTTGTTTACAGTTCTCTAGCCTTCTTTTTAGTTTTTCACTTATTGTCTCTTATAAAGTTTTTTTTTTTTGTTCCTATGTCTAAACCAGTTGTAAGCTTATAATCCACTTTTCCTCTCTCTTCTCTTCTCTTTCTCTATCTCAGCATTTAGCTAGCTTACAACATGCTATATTATATTTGCTCTAACTTATCTCGTCCTCTGGAGCAATTCTTTCTAGTCAAGACTCAAAAGTCAACTCTATACTCTAGTGATCTTGGCTATAGCCAATTGAAGACTAATGCTATTCATATAGAAAAATTTACTACTTATATCATCTTATATCTTACTATTACTAATTAGAGACTTCAACGAAGACTCCACGTTAATTTTACCAAATACGTTAGAAGAAGAAAAAATCTATAAATTCTTACAACAATCAGAAACATCTGACCTTTAACTTGATATAATCTAATCGTCATCGCCAATAATAACCATTGGATATATCATGTTTATAAAAAAAAACTTATCTTACCATTACTAATCGAGACTCCAATAGAGCTACCTCGTTAATTCTCACAACATAAGCTAGAAAAAAGATACATCCTAAAAAATTCCCCAAAAATAATTAGAAACATATGACCTTTAATTTGGTAGAATCTAATCTGATCGCCAATAATAACCATTGAATCCATTATGTTTTATAAAATATTATTTTACTATTACTAATTAGAGGCGCTCCAATAGAGCCTCCGTGTTAATTCTCGCTAGATAAGCCAGAAAAAGAAGATAAATCCTAGAAATTCTCAACATAATCAGAAACATCTAACCTTTAATCTGGTAGAATCTAATCTCTATCGCCAATAATAACCATTAGATCTATTATGTTTTATAAAAAAAACTTATCTTACTATTACTAATCTTAGAGGCTCCAATAGAGCCTACACATAATTCTCACAAGACATATTAGAAAAAAATAAATCATAGAAATTCTCACAATAATCGAAAACATGTTAACTTTAATTTGATAGACTCTAATTGTCATTGTCAATAATAAACGTTGGATCACCTCTACCATTATAAAAAAATATTTAAAATAAACTCCTAATTTTGCATTTCTATTATGAAAGGCAATTCAAAATAACCTCGTAAATTTGTATATAACCCATCAAGATTCTATCACACTTGGCCACATCAAAGATAAGTTTAATATTTTTTGTCAATTATTACGAATCGGCTCGAGAGAGGAGCAAGTATGGGTTTTGTCTTGAGGAGACCAAATAAATTCAGGGCAACTGCTCCAGTTTCCTTCTTTTAAAATTATATACGCATCTCAAAGCATCGAATTCTAATTAAGTAAAGATTTTTTTTTAATTATTATTACCCATCTAGGTGCCGTATGGGCCTGGCCCTTCCACGTCCAGCCCAAACCCAATCCATTTTAACATCATCTAGATCTAGAAAAAGAATTCCGATGTTTGGAGCCTCCACGGTGTTTATGCCGAGATGACGCCGCTCCTCTGATGGGTCTTGCCGAGTCGCGCGTCGCGCCTTATCGTCCTCCATTACGCCGACGACGAGACGATGACACTCCTATCCTACGCGAGCGGCGAGGATGACAAATGCATGCGATGTTCATCGGGTTTTACAGCACGACGTTATGATCGACTCCACCTGATCCTGCGGCGATACGTGTAGGATACAGGCTACGGTGGGCTTCGACGGAACTGGTGGCTTCTTGCCGGACATAAGCGAATCGAACGGGCACCGGGGATAGGAAAGAGATGAGTTAGGCACGGGCTGGGTTGGATACGGACGGACACATGAGGGGCCCATGTGACAAATAATTAAGAAAATGTTTAATTAATATGATAGACTGCTATAAGATCTGTGCAATTTTAAAAGGAGAAGTATTGGAGCAGTTCTCTTCGTTTATTTGGGGACGAGGAGATCAAGCGTGAAAAACTTTAGTGCAATTTTTTCCGTAAAGGAAGAAGTAATGTTGACGAAATCAAAACTTGTTGTAGCAGTTCTAATTAGTCAACGATCGGACAATTATTACCAAATACAAACAAAATGAGTATTGATAACAAAGGTCGCTACAGAACTGTTTGGGAGATCAAGCAGAAAACTTTAGTTGATATATGGCGGTTGACCGTGGATGCATATTGACCAGATCCAAAGCCTCAATGTCCACACGGAGCAAGCAAACTTTGGGAAGCTAACATCACTTCACATCCATGCTTATTGGTCCAAGGTATTGGACCTCCAGCTGTCACAGTAATTGTCTATATCTTTATGGAGTTCGTACTTAAACCTATAAAACTAGTGGTTTGGTTTTTCTAATCTTGTTCAATGAATGACAGGGCCTGAAAACTGGAATGTACTATCTACGGACACGAGCTGCTGCTGAAGCGATCAAGTTTACAGTCGATAATATCACACTTCTAAGATTATCTCCAAAATTATCCTATTTTTTCTTTCCCAAAACATATTATTTTTTAACTCCCTCCAAAAGTATTGGGAGGAATAAACGAGGCCATCTCCAAGTATTTCTAATCATTCACTCCAAAAACATCAAAATTCTGGTCCCACGCACCATTTTGTTGCCGGCAGTTTTTTTTTTCAGCACGCGAGATCGTACAGCCAAACAGGCGTCGCTTCTCCGTCGCCGGCGTCTCGCGCTGTTGGTTCCGCCAATCGTCAGCCCTGCAAGCAGTCCCTTGCAAGCAGTAGAGCAGCCGGCCAAGAGCATTACTTTAATACACATATATACACGGGATCAAATCTAATTTAATTTGATAATGCCAATCTACTCTGCTCGGCCATGCGCCCATGCCCCAGCAGGTGGCTGCCAAACCCCTGCGCCCCACCGCCGGACGTGAAGGAGAAGAGGTGGTATTTAATTCTGTTCTCTTGGTGCACATATTATCCCACCCGGCAACGGCAAGTATCCACACGGCAATGTCGTCATTGCTTCCGCTGCCAGAGAGATCGTGGCCAGTGAGCAGGACGTACGTGCACAGTTCCCGGTGGTCGCTCTCGATTGTGTGGTGTTGGGGACGAACGCGCAGTCCCCGGTCATGGGGTTGCACAGGCAGAGACCGGAGGGACGAGGCGTTGCCGATGATTGCCCGCCACCATGGCCTGCGGTAGTTCGTCCTTCGTCCATCGCGCGTGCCGTGCGCGGGGAAAGACCGATGTGCGCGACTAGGATAGGCGCGGAGGCGGCCGGTTTGTCGAGTGCTAAAAGATAGAAAATGAATATGGGGGACTCTTGGAAATAAGTTTTTCTCTTTTTTTTCTCTCCAAAAAATATAGATAAGAAAGAGATATTGGACACTCTTGGAGATGCTCTAAAGGAGAATGGGAATGGGGTATATTTTCTTTTCTTTAGTCCTACAATCTTTCCTCTCAAAAATTACTAAAGCACAACTCACCATGAAAATCGCTTTGCATATACAGGTGGATAATGAAAAGTCCACAGAGGAAGACGTAGAAGCTAAAATGGCACAAATGGTCTGTTCTCTGAACAACCGGGAAAGTGCATGGCGTGTGGAAGCAATTGGAGCTCCATCTGGAGTTCTGGAGACTGTACTACCTTATTTGCAGTGGCGGATCCAAAGGCGTGCTGGGGCTCCAATTGAGCTCCATCTGGAGCCCTGGATCAACGACTGTTTCACTAACTCCATTTGTTTTAGCCCCCTTGTTCCGCATCCGCCGCTGCTTATTTGTGACCCCAACATTATTTATTTATATATAAAGACTAGTTAGCATGAGAACCAATAAATAATCAACACAGCACTAACGACCAAGGGCCCAGAATATACAAAGGCCTCAATAAGATGAAGCAATGGACTATATAGGATGAAAGTTTAATTTTATTAGACTTGACAGGTGCCGCGCGTACATACCAAACTGATTTGTTAGATTTGGCGGGGGCCGCGCGAACGCGTACCCCCTCTACCACAAATTATGACGTCCACTCTCCCACTTGGGGAGATGGTAAGCCAGCGCGCCCTCCAAGTGCAATGAGGGCCACTGACCTAGACCACGGGCCTTCATGATCGCCCGTCGATCCCGTCCAGGTAAGTATGGAGCAACGTCGCACGGGGCGCTCCTCTTATAGCGGGAGCTCGCGACGCGTTTGCCTTCGCCTGGCGAGGTGGTGCTAAACGCTCAAACCGAACGAGCGCTCGTCTGCGCTCTGCCGCTGAGTTCTCGTGGGCTACCGAGACATGGAAAAGTATATGGGCCTTCAAGTCCGGCCGTGATCCGTTTCGTAAAAAAGAGGTCCGGGCCGAGACGAAACAGCCAGACTGCGGGCTGCGATGGATCGGTTAGGCTTCAAATTAGCTTTCGAGCCATAGAAGCTTTGGTTTTTCTTTCTTGCAGCTACATCCTCTCGTTGTATAAAGAGAAAAGAACTCCTAAGAAAAGAGGCAAAGCAATTGCAGATGCTGGCACACTCTACTTTCAGGATCATCTGCAACTGCAAGAGAATGGTTTAACACCAGCCTGAAGCGAAGAGGTCCATGATTATTTTTTCATTCTTAGCATAAATGCGTAACGGAGAGATGATATGGCCTTCAGCCTTCTCAGCAAAATTTCCGAGTCTCGCAGGCAACCACTGAATAGCAGCAAAGCTTCACCTCGGCAAGCATAGATGATCGCATTCGCGTGCATAAACTAACTGCAACCTGCTGTTGCTATTCATTTATATGTACACAAATGGCTAGAGGCATCATCATCCATGAATAACAACACCGATTTGCAGAACTAACTGACGAATCATCAGGGTAGCACATCGAGAAGCGAGAAAGATTTTTGCTCCAAAATTCGACCCATACATTCTGGAACAAATTAGCCAGAAAAGAAAAAGAAACATGAAGAAGAGGACTTCCAGCACTTCAATGCAATGGATTTCTCTAACATGCTTAATTTATAATAAACAGTGGTGGAAGAAAGTGTATAATAGCATGATCGAGTGTTTTTTCTGAGTGTGTGTTTTTTAAACTGCATTTTGGGAGTGTAGTAACTGTGCCAATAACGTTTTGCTGTTTTTCAACAGCTTCAAATCCAAAGGTCTGCCCTTAGATTTTTTTTTTTAATTCAACAAGTTCCCCAGTTGTTATGTTCCATGTATCAGAAGTTGTACGCAGTGAACTAGTAATCGGGGCCAGCCAAAATTGCAGCATGGTACAAGGGAACAAGGACACCTGTGGCAAAAATCGCAGATCACTACATCTCATCACAGTCCGTGTCGTTACATACGAAATACAAGTAGTGCTCCTCAAGAGACCGATCATGAGGCAGCGCATCTTGCTCTCTTGTCAGATGGGAACTGGACTCCCTAAACCTCTGAAAGCGCAGTTTGTTGTACGCTTCCATGTTGAGATTTGAAACCAGGAAGAGCTCCACCTCGGTGACAAATCGCTCTGTTCGGCCAAGGAGGAATGGCCTAGCAGCATCAGAGACCAATCTCCTGAACTCTTCCCTCCTCTTCTCTGGTGAAATCGTCCTTGACTTGTGCTCCATTTCAAGCCTCTTCATGAAGGATCCAATGACACCGTGAATGTGGTAGACTATGGCCTCAACGTTCTCATCCTGCAAAAACTCAAACATTGCTATGCATCAGTCCGTCAGTGGCAATCAACATGGGAAAAAATCCTACATGCATCGCAATCAAGCAACACCATGGCTATTCACCTTTATTAAAAGAAGAAAAAAGGACACTATCCTCTATCACCATATAACAACTTCAACATTACATAATTATTGAAGAATACAACATGTATCATGCTCCACTACTTCTCTGCTGTGATTTTGGCAACAAAAGAAGTACTACCATCCGAGTGTCTCCTACTATCTCTTTTGACCATGATCCACGAGTCATTAACAGTGAAATAAAAGCCTAACTGCATGATATTTTTTAGGAGTCCAAATTGGTATCCAAATATGCAATTGTCAATCTGATACCACTTCACAACCTAGTATATACAAGGAATATTTAACAAGATTAAAACAAGAGAGATCCAGATATCCTTGCATAAACACAGATCCCAATGGATGCTTATAAACTATATATATCCTTACAAAAAGCTAGGTCGCCTACCCCAGTAGCTAAAAGCGCTCAGGATTCTTGTAACCTATGGAATAACTGTATTGCTAATAGGAAACAACAGCTTACCCGAGTAAGGGCCTGAATTTCCCGTCTTAGCCAGGTTTCAAGCCAAATTTTCTTCCGGAGATATCTTTGTTGCTCCCAGTATTGCTGCACACTGGCAATGTTGCTTGTGCTCTATGCTTAATTCAGCAAGCAGATTGAATAGCAAGTGAGGCACATAAAATTCTCTGCTTAACAAGTGAGGCACATAAAATTCTGATGTAGAATACCAAAGCGTGAAAGGGAATAGCAAAAACAGATCGACATAATACCTTTCATGTTATAGAATTGTGACACCAACTCATGTGCATCTGAAAGACGCCTGTACCATGAGGAAAGGGGGATTAGTATACTTCTTCACATATGCGAGAATAAGTTATAGTTTACAGTCAGATGAATAACATGTAGATAGCCTCCATTCAGCAACCAAATAAATGGTTGCTTGTGAATATGGGCTACGGAGTACAGACAGAGTCACTGGAAGCAACTGATTCTCTCTACTCTGCTTTTTGGCTGGTATACCAAAGTTAGGCAGGAACTTCTGCTATTTCCCGGTGAAGATTTTCTATTTATTTAACTAGGTAGCGTGCCCGTGCGTTGCTACGGGACAACAAAATTTTTGTACTAAAAACACATGGATCGCACGATAAGATAACAATACTGTGAAATTAACCGACGTTAATGTGACATTTAATCCAAAAGGCAAATTTTATAAAATTAACACAATCACGGAAAAGCGCGGTGTCGTAGGCTCACAAACTCTACTGTATAGACCTAAAAATGTAAATAGACCCGGAAATTCAGGAGACTATGAAAATGCAGAACCAATGCAACTATTATTCAAGAAACTCTTTGGTCACCAGGAAGTTCAAAAAACTTTGAAAATGCAGAACCGATGCAACTGTTATACAGAAAACTCTATGCAACTCCTAAGGTCGTCAGTTCATTGAACTTTCAGTGTTAAGCTTACAGCTCGAGATAAATTCTCTCCATGAAGTATAGAATCAACTAACATACACGATATACTCTAATAATGAATCCTTTAGTCTTCCACAATGGATATCCTTTGTTTTGAGGATGGTTGGCCTCCATCACCATTCCATGTACCTCTGGGCGGTGTGAACACACTTGCTCTGTCGACGAAGGAGATGAACTCGGAGACACACTCCTAGTGGTAACTTCACTGTGGTAAAAAAAAACTAAAATAGGTAACAGCTACATGATTAATATTTTAAAAAGGGTAACGTCCTTGTGGTAAAAGAAAACTATAACAATGGCAATGGAGATTATTAACTCAATAATGAGAGCCGAGGACCGATTTGCACACGTGCAATCATATGCATATTACTAAAATCCTATTTTTATTTTTATCCATGCAAATTGCTAATATTCAGAACATAAACAAATATGTAAGCTTCATTAGGCACCTCTCCTTCCTAGTCAACTGCACCTTCAATTTTTTTTCTAGCTCACTGGGCGTAGAGAACAGAGAATTGAAGTGTAAGTGAAAACCGACAAGTCAACCTGTAATGTTAATAGAGAGACTGAAACTATTGAGTTACCCGGGAAACAAATGGGTTGTAGAGAGACTTAGTAATTCAAAGACGATAGAAATTTTAGAACAGAGCACCTTGAAGCCATCTCCCCTTTCTTGGTTAAACATTCTTCAGGAGATTACCCCAGAATATGTTACTTAGAGGTGCAATATCAAACGGCATAGTGTTAAGCTTGACACAATTTGCCTACCTGCTAGAGGATGCAGATTGCAGCAGGACTTGAGTTTATGCCTTCTTCATAGCACATTTCCTCTGTGTGTTGGTTTTCCTTAACGTTTCTGATAATCCAGCAGAAGACAAATACAGGCTCATATTCATCTGCTTCATATAAGACAGTGAAATTAACCAAACATTCTAATAAGTTAGCAGTCTAGACAACCACATAATTTTACACTTCGAACTGATGTAGCAATGGCAAATATCTATAGGTAGCATGCTTGAGCATATAAAGATGCTATGTACCAAAAAGGCAAGAAAATACTGCATCATATCCATCAATGGTGATGGACGAAGTAAAATACAATAGGAAAAATACTACACACTAAGACTGAATGACAAGCACACATACCTATATGTATGTAAGCTTCAGTGGTTTGACATTTCTACAAACATGTACTTCACACGCCACATTTCTGCAAAGGTGCAAACCTTGTGACAAAGACCAACACAATGTGGATCCAAGATTAGTTAGAGACTAAAAAGAGGGACGTTGACTGGTGAAGCATCAAGACAGTAATAACTATTAAGTTGAAGGTTCAATGCTGACTTTTATCCTCTCATCGCTACTAAATACATCAAGCTGGTTCAGCAATTCCAACATTATCCTTTGCACTTTTCTATCACCGCTAACTTCACTGCAGAATGAAACAAAAAAAGTACAAATTAATTGACTGCAGACAAATAATATATAGCCTAATCCGATGCTAATAATCATCCTATATAGCATCAATTACCACCCAGCATGGAGATACTAAATATGTAGAATACATAACCAAAAAGAAAAGAGTGAGTTTGCAGTGTAGAATCACATTGCATGAATTCTGTAGACTGCAAGTTGTTTATCGGGGCCAACTGAAAAAAGTGAAATGCTAAAATGGTTAGTTTTAGGAGCCCTAGCATTTGTATGATATTTTAGTATATTTCAAATTAAAATAATGGGATGTTACAAATATTGATTTCATAAATTTAATTACCTATCGGGACAAGTTGTGGACAACCAGTTTTAGAACTGTGGCATTAGTTTGTGGTGGTCCATACAAAAGAACACATTTGGGGGATGAATACCCAATTTCTAAAATCGATCTTTGTGTGTCATTGGCAACACTATTGCTTCCACAAGCTCTTGAATCTGTGTCACAACAGAACATCATTTTACTGCTTGCAATGTATAAACTCAACCATATTGTCACTTTAACAGTCTATGCATCAATTGTACAAAACAAATTACATGTTTCCCAAGTCCTTCAATGTCATTGTAATCCTCTGTAGGTTTCTCATCTACTTCCAATGCCATAACCCGTGAGTCATCCTCTGAAGGCAATGTGTAAAGTATCAAATAGTTGTCTTTGTTAACCCAAGAATTTAAAAATGAATCTGAGTTCTTCGTAACTGACAAAATCAACCAACTACAAATGGCATGTGGAAGTAAACATATGCATTGTTGAATTACAATACGTGCAATGCAGAACAAAAATGTAATCCGATTCTAACAATTAGGGATCAGGATACCTTGATTTTTTTATAAAAAAAGCATAGGGCTTCAATTTGAGGTAATTTTGAAATTGAAAAGGCACAAAATGAAAACACTATTCACAATAACTGAATCTCTGAAATTGAAAACACTGAAAACGAATGAAACTCGACACTCATATATTGAGAGATTCACTTGAGGACTGAAGGATATTAAATCGGTGACTAATCGTACACTGAGCACAAATTGAAAATACAACCACGCATTACTCACCTTCTAATGTGGCAAAGAGGAAGCAGAAGGGCTCCTGTTTGTCTCGGGTGGCTGAGTGAGACGTCGGCGATGGCGGCCGTCCCCGCGAGCACGCAGATCCCGATGCCGCGCGGTGTGCGCTCCACCGCTGGGTATCTCGAGCATGTGCGGCCGCATGGCCGCCGCGGGATCCACGTCCCGTGTGACCACCGGCGGCGGCTTGGGCTTGTTCTTGTACCCCGGCGACCGGCCTCGACGACGCTCGCCGCCGGCTCGTCGACTCCTGCTGCCCCGTCCGTCATGGTGAGGGAAGGCCACCGCTGTCGTCGTCGGGGTGGGGGAGGGCCACCATGGCCTCGCGTCGGGTGGGGGAAGGTCATGTGGTTGGGGGCGCCGCCCGATCCATTGGGTGGGGGAAGGGGGTGCCATGGAACGGCGATGCGGCGAGCTGAGGGCGACGATGGGGGCGCGATAGGGGCGCGGCTGATGCGGAAGACTGTGGCCGGCCGCGTGTGGAGCGAGGGCACGAGCGAGGATAAGGGCGCCCGCATGATGGCGATGATGGCCGCGCGTGGTATCGCGAAACTACCACCGGGCGGACGAAATACGAGAGTGAGGTTTCCTTTTGAGCTCTTTCCTTTTGTCGCAAGGGGACGGACGTACGAGCGTCGACTCGTGGGATCGCACGGGGAGGGCAGGACGATGGACCCACATTGTAATGTTACACCAAAAAGTGTCCACGCTTTGTTCTTTTTAGTTGTAGGAGATGGGGATGGGCAACCATGGAGCGAACCGCTGGCTCGATCCACCTATTCAAGTACTCCCTCCGTCCAGTAAATGTCGGTCGTTTTTCTTCCTGAATTTTTTTGACTAAATATATATTAAAAATATTAATATTTATGATACATAATTAGTATTATTGGATAGATATTTGAATCTAGTTTTTAATAAATTTATTTGAAAATAGAAATGTTACACGTATTTTTTATAAATCGAGTTAAAATTATCAGCACGTAAAAGGTGACGACTAACCTTCACGGACGGAGGGAGTATACCATTCGCTCCATTTCTATTAGCTGCTGACCCTATGGTCTCCAATGGATTTCATGGATCGATCCATTTCTATTAGCTCGCGACCAGCGGCGGATCCAGGAAATATTTTAGGGGGGACTGAACAACACTGCTGCTCGATCTTAAGTCTCAGCCCCCCTACTCTATAGAACTTTGCCTAAAAATTCATAGGGGCTCTATAGTAATTTGCACTGCTTCGGTATGGGTAGGGGGGCTTGAGCCCCCCCCCGCCCCACTGCTGGATCCACCCATGCTCGCGACAACCACCAATCCACAACAGAGAGGAGGGAGATCAACATGGTGCTAGCCCTGTGGACCCGGTCGGTTGTACAGCAGCGGCTGCCGGTCGAGGTCCGCGCTTCTTCCCCTGCGATCGCGTGGACCCGTGCACCGGCCGGCGTCCGTCACCGACCCACACCACTGGCCACAAAGCCCACATCGCTCGCCGCGGTCGGATCCGACATCGACTCGGCCATCGTCACTGCCAATCCGCCGCCAAGAAGAGGCACGAAAGGAAGCTCAGCGACGAGTTCGATCACATCTCGCCACGGAGCAGCAGATACCAGATAGTGGAGAAGAAGCAGAAGTCGAGTACGGCGATGACGTCACCGAGGAGTCAGGCCGGAGAAAGCGGGAGCCGAGTGTGGCGGCGGCGAAGCCGTTGATGTGTTTGATATATGTACGAGTCGATCTGAGATCACCTCCCGGGCCCTCTCCTTGCAGCATTGCGCACCACGCGCCATTAGCATCTCATCACGTGCGTACGCCATTACTCATCTTATTTTGCTAGATAATCGAGCGAGCGGCACGAAAAAATAACGAAATTGGAGCTTGTTAGATGATATGATAGGTTAGCTCTGGTATGACCAGAGTTCATTGTATTCTAGATGAGATCCTATTAGTTCGGTATAGATGGCAGGTTAGCCTAGATTGAAGGGATCATTGTTGTAACCATATATTGTTGTCCTTGCCACCACGGAGGGGCGATTCCTCTAGTATATAACACGCAACCCAGGAGATCGAGAAGGCACCTGGTTCCTCCCAAACTTACATGGTACCAGAGCCATCTTCCTAACGGAGTTCGATCATGGCGTTCGCATCGGCGACGCTCGCCGCCATCTCCCTCGGCCTCCTACCGGTCACCGAGAAGCTAACCAGGAGCAACCACGCCATGTGGCAGGCGTAGGTCCTGTCTGCCCTAAGGGGTGCTCAGACGGAGCACCTCATTGATCCGGCAAGTCAACCGCCGGAGAAGTTTCTTGCAGCCAAGAGCGAGAAGAAAGTTGAAGGCGAGCCGACTGTTGTGAACCCGGAGTATGAGAAGTGGGTCGCCAAGGACCAGCAGGTCCTCTCCTACCTCCTCACGTCTCTCTCGCAGGAGATCGGATCTCAGGTCACCACGGTGACCACGGCGGCGTCGGCTTGGGCCGCCATCGAGGTGCTCCATGCGTCACAGTCAAGGGCTCATGTCATCAGCACCAGGATGGCACTGGACACTGCGTCCAAGGGCACCATTAATTAATTTTCCTTTACCATGGTGTGTTTGTATGCTTCATGTAATTATATTAGATTTATATTCATATATATCTGAAGTATATACAATTATTCTCAAGTAATTATTAATTTGTTTCATTTTTATATATATCTGAATAAGTAGTCATTTAATGTTTGTTTTGTTGTTGTTGTAAAAGATGGAGTACAGGAACTCTTGGATGTATGGTTCGTTAAGGTTCAAGGCAGGTTTCCATGAAGAGGTGGATAAATTTATTGAAGCCGCAAAGAAGCATACAACGATATTGAAACAGAATAAGGATATAATTATTTGTCCATGTAAAGATTGCAAGAACCGTATGGCATGGACAGATGTGACTATCATCAGATCACATTTGATTATGCGAGGATTTGTTGAGGACTACACAGTGTGGATTCATCATGGTGAAACGGTTATTGTTAACGACAAGGATGAGGAGGAATACGATGACGAAACCATAGAATCCCTGTCCCAATATTCAGCAGAGCTTGATGCACGAATAGATTTCAAGTTTGGCAATGAACAAGGTGGTGATGCTGGTGGTTGGATTGGTAACGATGAAGGTGGTGCCAATAATGATGGTGAAGCACGTGTCGGGGATGAAGATGATTTGGAGGACATGATTCGAGCCCTTGGACTAGAGATTTTACTAAATAGCCCGAAAGGTCTAGAAAATTTAGAAAGGGTGACAAAAGCATCGAAGAAGACTGTGTATGGTGTTGAAAAGGGTTGTCCAACACATTGGACATTGCTACGTTTTGTGCTTGAGCTGCTCATCCTGAAGGCTAAGTACGGCTGGTCAGACTGTAGTTTCAATGATCTATTGCATCTCCTGGCATGGGTGCTGTCACAACCAAACTCAGTTCCCACCAACACATACCAAGCGAAAAAGGTCATAAGTCTATTGACAATGGGGGTTGAAAAAATCCATGCATGCCCCAACCACTGTATACTTTTTCGTGGCGAAACGTTCAAGTTACTGGATAAATATCTCCGGTGTGGGGCCAGCCGGTACAAGAACAATGACCTTTACGGTAGGGACGAAGCCTCCACGGGGGAAAAGAGGAATAAGAAGGGTACAAAAAAAGAATCTCAGCCCCCAGAGGACACTCCATTAGGCAACGATGCAAAGCAGAGAAGAATTCCTGCCTTGGTAACGTGGTACCGCTAGTGACCGACCGCTTGAGACGTATCTTCCTAAACCCTAAAGAAGCCGCACTCATGACATGGTGGAATGATGAGCGCAAGGTGGATGATGATAAGATTGCACACCCGGCTGATTGTAGTCGGTGGCAAAGGTTTGATGAGAAGCACAAAGAATTCAGCGATGACCCAAGAAATATACGGTTTGGCTTGAGCACCGATGGAATGAATCCCTTCAATGAGAGGATGAGCGACCACAGTACATGGCCAGTGATCTTGACCATGTACAACATCCCAACATGGTTGTGTCAGAAGAGAAAGTACCTTCTCCTCACTATTCTTATTTCTAGCCCTAAACAACCAGGCATTGATATAGACGTGTTCCTCGAGCCTTTGATGCAAGAAATGGAGAGGCTATGGAGGCATGGGGAGCAGATGTACGATGCGTTCCGAAAGGAGGACTTCATATGTAGAGCAATAATATTTGTTACTACCAATGATTACCCCGCGCTATTTGCTTTGTCCGGATAGATCAAAGGGAAGACGGGATGCTTGGTTTGCTTGGATGGTACTACATGGGTGTACCTGGATGCATCCAAGAAGATAGTTTACCTAAGGAACCGACACTTCTTAAAGACAAGTCACAAGTACCGCAGCAAATTGTTCTTTAGATTTTATGACAACGCCCCGGAGATTGAACCCCCTCCGGAGAGACGTCATAACGGAGAACACGTGTACAGAATGGTGAAAAACATACGCGTCGTCTATGAAAAGAAGAATCCAGATGGGACGAACAGAGATAGAAGCACACCTCCTGTCGAAGGAGTACCTTTTAAGAAACAATCGATCTTCTTTCAGTATCTGCCTTATTGGCCAGACTTGGAGGTCCCCCATGCCATTGATGCTATGCACGTGTAGAAGAATATCTTTGAGAGTCTCATTGCTACCTTGATGGACACAGGCAAGTCAAAGGATGGTCTGAAAGCATGAAAAAACATGGCGTAGCTAAACGTGATGCCACAGCTTCACCCGGTACCTGAGGCTAATGGAAAATACACTCTGCCCGCGGCGTGCTTCAACCTAACACCAGGCGAGAAGAGAGCTATATGCACTTTCCTGATGGGGATCAAAGTCTTGACTGGGTTTTCAGCAAATGTGAAGAAGCTAGTGTCGATGAAGGACTTGTCAATAACACACGGCAAGGCTCATGATTGCCATGTGATGCTGACAGTGTTTCTACCTATTGCAACCAGGGCTATAAAGCCAGAGTTCTGGAAAATGGCCATCACCCACATGTGCTACTTCTTTTCGAAGATCTCACATAAGACGATTGGCAAGCAAGAGCTGAGTGACCTACATGAATTTGTGGTGGAGACACAAAATCAACTGGAGATGTGTTTACCTCCTGCTTTTTTGATATAATGCCACATCTCATGATTCACATGGTTCATCAGATACAGGCGCTGGGCCCTTGCTACTTGCATGAAATGTGGTCCTACGAGCGGTTCATGTCGGTTCTAAGTCGATACGTGCATAATCGAGCATACCCAGAGGGCT